CTCAGGCTCTGGATACCAGCCTCTAGACTCACAGTCTAGCAGCACTCCTCCTCTGTCTCTGTCCATCCCTGATAACGTTATGACCGCTGAGGAAACAGCACCTGATGCAGAGCAAAAGGTCAAATGTGTGACAGTGCTGTTAATGGAAGATGAACTTAGAATTAGGTGATATAATATATTATAAATAAACTTGCATTGGCTTTTAGATTTAAAATATGTTAACCCCATGAACCCCATGTTCTTCCTTCGAAGGATTTGTGTTTTTTACTCACGAGTTCTATTCCAGAACGCCACACATGGACGAATCTGGGGTTCAGGTCCGGTCTGGCCCACTCCAACGTCAGACCAGACACATCGTCCGCAGGCTCCAGATGACATGGCACAATGATGTCATGGCCAAGGGTTGCTACTATTGGCTGAGATGAGCCAATCAGCTGAGACTGACCTGGAAATAGATAGATGCGTATTAATGTGCAGGAGGTGATGAGCTCGTACTAATACGTCACCTTCCCGGTAAATTAAAAGTGCCGTATCAGTCATAGCTGCAGTGTTTGACAAACATGAAGCAGAAAACACTCAGTCAGATAAAAGTTTTTCTACTTTTCTTTTTGCATTTTTTACCGAAAATGTAATAATACATGCATTACGTAATAACCAACACAAATGGACGTGTTCATCTGTGGACATGTTATTCATTTAACAATTGAGCTTAATTAACTCCCCAAAAATTAAACTAGACCTCTATGTGGTGCCCCCCTTCGTGTTCAATCTTCTTACAAATAAACACAAACTCACAGACCTCATGTCAAAAGCCGACCTGGAAAAATGAATTCAAGCTTTTATTTCTTGCATGGTGGACCACATGAAAGGTCTTTGACAGAGCTCCCCAAAGAGACCAACAATCAGCTTCAGCTCATTCAAAATGAAGCTGCTAGAGATCTTACAGGGACCAAACGGTCTCACCACATCACCACAGTGTGTAACTCACTACACTGGTGATAGTGATTTGTGACTGCATGTGTGTTACCTCTACACGAGTGTGTTAGGAGGAGATGGAAAACCAAAACACCGAGGGGTCTGATGGGAGACTGAAGGGACAGCCCGTCTGTCTGGTGAAGCATCCTGCTGCTCTGAAAATGAACCAGTGATACAGGGAATAAACACTTTTTGAATTGTTCAAATAAGTGACTCAACCATCCCTGGGCAGAGTACAAGAGGCACTCCATCTATAGTTAGTGTTTCATCTCCGTAAAGCTGGAGGACTTGTGAGAGGCTGAGGTATCCTGACTTTTAGTATCTCGTGCTCTTTTGAAGATAAAATGTCTCGTTATCTCATCTGTTTTGTGATTTATCGGACTTTGCTGATTTTAAAATGCAATGTTATATTATATTTATGGATTCCGTTTGTCACACCCTCTACGTTGTCTTCGATAAAAACACTTCCCTCTTAGAATTATTAAAATACTCACACGTGGACTTCTTTACATTTTTGTTGATATTTAATAAATCATGCTCTTTTCACCTTCACTTTATTAAACACAGACGGTAATGTAGCCATTTCCATGTTTGGTGCAACAACAGTTGTGTTGTATTGTAACTGTCTATGCCAGCAGGGTATCAGAAGTGAACAATTCATTTTAAAAGTGATTGATTCTGCTGGATTAACAATGACTCTACGTTTGAAATACATTTCACATGTGGATTCAATGTTTCCTCCGACACAAAGGCAATAAAATAACTTTATAACTCTGTAATAAACTATTGTTATGGTCTAAATGCACACCTGCCCTTATTCTAGAAGGTGATAATGTCTGTTAAAATAAAAGTTGAAACATACAGAATTGTTAGAAATTAACTAAGAAGACGACGTACCTGCTTCATGATATGTCAGTGATTTATTCAGACTGCACGGCTGTAACTTATTGGTAAGCTATGTTCATAAACTCAGTTTCCCTTTGAATGTCTCTGCAAACACTTGAACTTTGAGCCTGTTGCTAGGTAACTGGTCACGACAACAAAGATATTATAGCTGCAATTTAAACATCCAGGTCTGTTTGCTACCTGCAGGGGTCAGAGCAGGACTTGTCTCTCAGGTTCACAGCATTTGAAGCCAAACGGCATCTATATAGCCGAGAGTTTACACGATGTAATATAAATGCTGACTGGAGACAACATGTCAACCATCACCTACTGACAAGGAAGGAGGACTCAAACACAGACTGATACACAAAGGCCCAATTCCAATCCGGCCCCTAAACCCTCTACCTAAACACTTCCACTGCTTTCACATGGAGGGTCCACCATATTAGGTGCCATCCCAAACCAAATAGCAGGGAGTGGAAGTGGGCTATAAAAGCCTCCAACACGCTCCCCTTACTGACCACGCTCAACACTGTTTAGTGTTCTTAATGGAACATGCTCCGTTACTACACGTACAAACATGTACTGGTAAACTGCTCAAACTAAGATGTTTAAATAGTCATAAAGATGAACAACTCAAAGGTTACATTGTATTTTAATTATATTTCTTACATAATTGACATGGAACTGGTGACTTTCTGAGAAGTATTTGTTTTCAGAATAAGATACTGTAGAAAAATGGCTTTTCCAAGCTTCTCCAAATAGACTGCTAATCATCATCATCATCATCATCATCATCATCATCATCACAAGTCTTCGTCTGATAATAAAGGGTATCAGTTACCGTTAAACCACTTTGCTGAAGCTGCCACTGCTGCTTTTAATATTTATGTTTTTTTAATATCTACAATTATCAACAATGGGTCTAATATTAAATGTTGATAGAGATGTAATATTTAGGGTCATGTTTTAACAAATGAATAAACGTATACCAGTAAAGTAAAATTACTTATTCATTTTTCTTTACATGCTTGATATTAAAAAGCTGATTTTACACTGCTGGTCTTCAAAGTTGAATATCACCAATAATGTGTGAAAGGTGTATAAAACTCCTAATGTATGAATGATGCAGAACATTTTAGGGTTTAAAATGAGTAAAAATCAGTAGATAAGAGTTGAAAATGCACGAAAA